TAAATAAACCTAGGCAGTGTAAATTAAGTCTGTGTTGAGGAAGTGGATCAGACTAGTTCAGCTGAAAGCCTAGGTAATGTATATTAAGTCAGAAGCCGGCAGGAAATAGGAGTCAGAAGACGTACGTGCATGTAAATATTGCTGAAAATAGTTGATAGCTGTGTGTTAAGAAAAAGTGCATATAAATGTTACCAAGGCCTAAAATAATAATACTAATAGTTTGAGTCTTGAAGCCTCATGTTTAAGACCATTAGATAAAAAGTATAGAATAATGACAGTTGGATAACTGATCTAATATTAAACTAACATAAAGCTTAAGGATAACAGATGAATAGAGTTGATATGGTGATATAAATAAGTATAAGAAGTTGATGGAAGGAGTTATAAAGTAATAGATATATGAATATATATTGATGAAATAGTGAATGTGGACTAGTATAGTGTAAAAGATGGCTTTGATGCAGTCTCAGATTGAATTGTGATAAAGCTATGTGCAAAATAAAGTTCTGAAGTGGCAGTCCACGCCCGAATAATGAAGACTGGAAGAGAAAAGAGAAAAAAAGGAGTTTGCTCACACTAGCAGAGAGGAACAGAGCAGGAGCTGAGGAGTGTCTGTGTGAGTGAGTGTGTCCATGTGGGGGAGGACAGCAGGCTGAGAGAGAGAAAAAGAGAGCAGTTCAGCCCTAAACCAAAAGTTATGAGAGTTTTGTGATCTGTTGCACCTTTCTAGGATAACAACAGCACATTATAGCAAGTTACTCATGAGTTAATAATAACAGAAGTTACAAAAGTTTTTTGAACCAATAGCAGCTTGACAGTAAGCAGATTAGTAAAAGAACGGCAATGACTGCTGGATACAGAAAAGAAAAGTGTAGTTGAAACAGCCTACTGAAGTATTATGATAATAAAGGAAATTCAGTTCAGAATAACAGGCTGAAACACTTTTTGGTCGAGGAGAAGGAACAAAACTAGAAAAATGATGACATCGATAAAGTTTGCAAATTTATTGAAACATAGAAGTACAGATTGATAGGCAGCAATGTGAGGTATTATCTATGAAGGATTTAAGTTAGAGAAGGGATTGAGAGCATCAATTTTGTATTAGATGTAAGAAAATGAATTTGATATTTTAATAGTTGTTAGTTTCACTGATGTTAGTCATTTTTAGTAAACTCTGCTTTGATGATTTTTCAGTTGAATAGCTCTTTGATATAGAAACAAGGAGAGCTGCCTGAGTTTCTTTCAATGAATTGTTTCATTCTAGTTTCTTGGTTGTGTGGCTTTACAATTAACTGTCTTTTTCCTTTTCGAGACATGAAGGCCGACCAAATTCTAAAGTTTCCAGAGAGTAAGTGTTTGCTCGCAGTGAGTGTGCGAGGGCTGTCCTGGGAGGCACACAGCAGGTGAAATTAAATGGTAAAGAGCAGAAAAAAGAAATATTAGCTGCAAAGGTGGTCAAAGGAGCTGTGGCAGCAACATATGTGGTAACAGCACAACTAAGTAGTTAAAGATAAAATAAAAGACGTCAGATAAGAGATAGAGAAAGCTCAGAATGAAGGGAAAATAGGGAGAAACAGTTTGACCAACAGGTAGATAATATTGACAAACTATATAGCCTTGAGTGAAGGAAACGTAGTCACTGAGACAGAATAATGAAAGAGCCCATCCTGATAAGGTCTAAATAGATATACCCCCAGATGAAGAAACGTATACAGCAAGTGGAAGAAAGATATAAGTAAGTGCAGTCAAGGGCCAGTACAGGCAGAAGAAGAAGAAAAAAGAATTAGGGTCTTTAAAGGGTTGAGTTCAGATATAAAGGAGAGATGGAAAAAGAGAGGCTATAATAGATAGGGAGGAGACGAGAGCTAGATATGATTAGAAAGAATAACAACTCCCAAACAAAGTGAAAAGTTCGTCATAGCACAGATCTCAGAAAGACAAAAGATCTGCCTACAGACCAAGATACCTGCAGAGCACAACAAACCATGAGACATGACGACAGCGAGACAGAGCTACAATGGACAAGATGGCAGCTCTGAAGTTTCATGAAGAAGGCGAGAGAGCAGCTTCAAAATGGACACAGCAGAATCTGACTGTGAGGAAGAGAGGGAGGTGATACAGGAGGCGTTTCACAGAGAGGCGTGCCGACCTGATGCATCACAGGCCCAAGCCCACCTCCACTGACGTCAGCGTCTTCCCAACGCTGAGGACGCAGCCAGTCAGACCACATCTACCATCTACAGTCGAATCATAAAGAGGACAACACCACCTTAAAGACTGTGAACCTAACAGCACAAAGTTTAAAAGGTCAAGAAGGCTTCACTGTGAAAATGAACTTCAGCCAAAATGCTCTCACATGTGACCGAGTGCTGACAGAGACATCACCAAGGAAGAGCTCTCTGTCTCACATGATCAACATTACAAATGGTCAGACTGTCAGAGGCCTTGAAAACTGCAACATCTGCTGAAAAAGAACTGTTTGAAGACCTCACAAGAGTTTGGGAGCAGGAGTGTTGATAATTTGTAGGAGAAGAAAAAATAGAAAGATAGGGGAAGAAAAAAGAAAATAGAGACTGATGTTAAATCCAAAAAGACTAGGAATAAGAATAAGGTTAGCTCAGGATCTATAAAATAGCAAGATATGTCATTAATAATTGATTCATTAACACAAATATACTGAGTTAATAACTTTGGTGTCCTGCTCTCCTCCAGCAGCCACCTGATACTGAATTTCAGCTAAAAGGGATCAGAACATCAGGCATTCCTTGTGTTTTTAAACAGAGTTTTTAGAAAAAGGGAATCTAGTGGGGTTATTTTTATAGTATAACTGTTAGAGATCACTGTCTGCTCTGGGTTTGTGCAGAGGAACAGCCAGCGCAGAGCTCCTCAGTGTAGCAAATACAATGACAGGCAACCTTTCAGGCTTGATTTTAAAGAGGTCGAAAAGGAGAAGCCTCATTGAAGCCTTTATAAAGCAATTTCAGCAGCACATTGCTACTGCATGCTTAAATATGATGATTGTGAGTCTTAAATCATGATTGACCTTTGTCATGTATTCCACAGGAACAACCAAGCAACTGTAATGATAACCTGAGACACATGTGTGATGCTGAACACCTGAGTTAATTATGTTTTCTTTCTGTTTTTGTTGAACACCTGAGTTAATTTGTGTTTTCTTTCTGTTTTTGGAGGTAGTATTAGTAAACTAGTTTGAAGTATGGAAGAACTGTAGTGCCCTAATGAATAATGGAGTGTTATTTCAAGATTTACTATTTGTACATCCAATAGCAATGTAATTCAATACACAGATATACAGGATGTTAGAGGGGTTAAATTGCAAGCAAATATAATATCTAGGATATCTAGAAAAAGATTAGACAGATAGAAACAATAGTTAAAGTCTCTAAACTACAAACAGTAGGATAAAGCTCACTTATTGGTAATAGTAACAAGTACAGTTGCAAGCAAGCTTAATAATTCTTCACAGCCAGTCAAAGACCAGAGGAGGCCACTCTCCTATGAGGCCTTGTGATGCAGACACAGCAGCAGGCAAGATCAAGCGCGACCTGCACCACCACAGAGACGACGTTGACTATCACCAGCTATGAGTCCAAGTGAACCAGCAAAGGAAGAACAAGACTGAAACTACAAACGACTGAGTGCCCTCAAATTGGTACCCAGTCTGTTCCCCAAGAAACCTGAGTGCCAAAAAAGAGTTCCACAGTACCACGGATTAAAACTTTAAAATGGACATCATACATGTTATTGGACATTTTGCACCATTCTGAAGTGTCACATGAATGATTGTTGAAACACTGTTATGTCTGGAAAGTTCACTATGCACCATGTGATTGTTTTGATGATGTGTGCCTTTCAACACATTAGGTGTTGTTATAATTGTTAGCTTGCTAAAGTATATAAGAAAAGAACAGCTCACTGCATAAGATATTATTTGTTTCACGAGTGTAAACCATTTACAAGGTATATCTCACTATATTATAGCACGTATAGGTAGTTTAATATGTTAAGCTCATTTAAAGGGAAACTCATTTAAAGGGTAATAAGGAGAGAGGAGTAATGTGTTAGAAACAGGAACATCCCACCGCATGATTATTGATTATTTCACAATGTGTAAACACTAATTTGGGTATTTTCTTAAAGGTCTACAAGTCTGAGAAATAGGTTTCATATGCAAATACACTAGGCCGCCTATTTTCAGTGGTCACAGTGTTGGTGTATGAAGTGTGAGGCTTTACAGCCTCAGAGGAGAATTATTTTGGAGCATTATAGCCTAAATTGTTATAATTATTACTAGAGCAATGGTGGTCTACATTGTCATCATTTAAAGTGTTATTTTATAGTGTAAAGTTAGGATCACAGTGTTAAAACTCTACAGCTCTGAGTGTTGTGCTGCTTTCTGTATCTAACTGCCCAGGCACATGTGTGTGTGTGTGTGAGCAAGTTCGTGTGCTTTGGGAGAAAAGGGAGGGAGCACAGTGAGGCAGCATCAAAAATACCTGCAAAGTAAAATATAGAAGCAGATTTTGTGCAAATTGTATAACAAAACATACATCAATATAGTCCATCACAGTAAGAATGTCCTGTTTCTTGCACAGAGCACAAACAACACCAGTTTATTCCACAAAAGTCAGGTTATGGAAGAAATGGCATGATCAAGCAGAGTTCATGCAGAGGACACAGAGAGGAGGAGCAGGCAGTCAGGGACTTTCCCAGACCCAGGTGCAGCAGGAAAGAGGGCCAAGAGATGATGTAAAGCCAAGAAACAGAGCTATAAAAGGAGGTCCAAAAGGAGGTGAAAGTCAGTCGTTACATGGTTTTCATGTCGACTCGGGTCTCTGTTCTGGTAACAGAATGGGGCTCTATTTTGCACCGATCTCTGACACACTCCGGTGGAACTTTTGTATTGTAATTGGTGTCTGTTTTTGTTGATAATAAAAATGTTGGTAAAAGTTCAAGCTTTCTTATCTGGCCCAAGTCTTGAATTTTTACACGACATTAAAAGCAGACACACGACGCTGCTGACAGAGTTTTTGATTTCGTACTTTTATTAAAATCTTTTGTTTTGTGGAAATAACACTTATCTGCCTACACTTGTTCTCTTGCTTGTCGCCGAATTTACCTTGTGACGACTCCCGGTTTGTTTTCCGCCACTTTTAACTCCCATGTTCCAGTCAGGAACAACACAGATGTTTGCTGCCATGGCCATAGCATCAACAGTGCCTCTGTTGGGGTTCTTGGATCATAAGCATGATGTGCAGAAGCCACCACAACACTATGGACTATGTGATGGAATTTTAATATCTAGATGTTTCAAAGTTCTAGGACGAGTTTTACCGTCAGACTGGAAGGTGAGAGACCAAACGGAGACATGTGGCCTCCCTCGTGCATCCTTTTCACCCCCCCTCTAACCCATAATCTGCCAGTATTAACTATTAATTCCATTCTGTAAAACTAAAAGCTCTTCAAGATGAATACTCTTGTACTTTTACTTCAGTAATTATCAGTGAAATGTTTTCTTTAAATCGTCCCGTGGTGGAGTTCATTTTATTTGTTGATGAAATGACTAAATGCAGCAGTAAGTACGCAGTTTCCTAAAATATTCAAGTAAATAATTATAAATAAATAAATAAGTAGGAAGAATGCAGGTACCTTGTGTACTCCTCTGAATTTGGACATTAAGGTTTTAGATCCAGAATACATGACCTGATCAGTGAAGATGGATTATTATAGGAAACGTCCTAAATGAAAAGTAAATGATAATATGGCCACTCTTGTGTTTACTGCCAGAATCTGCCAGAAAGAGGATCGCACTCCGATGAAGGAAGAATACCAGAATACAAACAGCTCAAGGCTAAACTGCGTTTGCTGGAAGTCCCCCTCAGCAAACAGGAAGTCACCAAAACCGTGTGAGAGGAAGTGGAAACTCCCAGAGACTGCCTCCACCCTGAAACTCTGCATGAGAAAAGAGCTTTCTGTGTTGAGAGGAGAGGAAGAGTTACAGAAAGAAACGTGTTGAGGTGCACCGACATGTTCTTCCTTTCTATTATTTATTTCAGCTACTTCAGCTGCAGAGCTCAAGAGAGCAGAACGTCGCAGCCTGAAATAAAACTAGTGCTTAACGTTGTGAAACATCTGTTGGGTCAGGTTTAGGAAAAGTTCATGGTTTGGGTCAAAATAACTACGTTACATACGAGGTCCAGTGTGTTCTAATGACAGAAATGCAAGATGAGGTCCATAACTATGTTCTCAGCGCTGCATAAAGACCTTAATGTTGTTATTACCTTAGAATGAGACATTTTCTGTCTACAGACACCTCTCACATGGAGGTCACCCTGTTGCACCGCCATGTTTCTACAGTAGCCCAAACTGTTTCAGTGCTGAAATAATTAGTTGATTAGTGGCTCGACAAAAATATTTAGTAACAGCTTTTAAATGTAGTTTAATTCCTGTTTCCTGCTGAAACGTCCCTCTGGGTCCTGAATGTTGTACAAAGTTTCACACTTTGAAGACGTCACTCAAACTGTGATGGATTAATAATAACTAATGAACAAGAGTCTTTGTGCAGAATTTAGACTTCAGCAGACGTAACTCTGCTCGTCTCCGTCCTCTGCAGCTCCGGCGAAGCGCCCGGCCGGCCGGCGAGGAGCCAAGAAGACGGAGCAGCAGGAGGAGGAGAAGGTGGAGGAGCTGATCTTCAGCGTGGAGCTTTCTGTGACGTGCTAAGATGCTGAGCGGCTCAGTAATGCTCACGGCCTGGACTCCGCTCCTCCTCCAAAATGCTCCAGTCCCAGATCCAGCCCAGGACCAAGACTAGGCTGTATGTAAGCCATTGAGAGGATGAACTACCCATCCATCCATCTTCATCCGCTTATCCGGGATCTGGTCATGGGGCAGCAGCTTCAGCAGGGAACCCCAAACTTCTCTTTCCCGAGCCACGTTAACCAGCTCTGACTGGGGGATCCCGAGGCGTTCCCAGGCCAGTGTGGAGATATAATCTCTCCACTTAGTCCTGGGTCTTCCTCGAGGCCTCCTCCCAGCTGGACGTGCCTGGAAAACCTCCCTAGGGAGGCGTCCAGGAGGCATCCTTACCAGATGCCCAGACCACCTCAACTGGCTCCTTTCAACGCAAAGAAGCAGCGGCTCGACTCTGAGCTCCTCGCGGATGGCCGGGCTTCTCACCCTATCTCTAAGGGAGACACCAGCCACCCGCCTGAGGAAACCCATTTCGGCCGCTTGTACCCACGATCTCGTTCTTTCGGTCATGACCCAGCCTTCACGACCATAGGTGAGGGTCGGACCGGTAGATCGAGAGCTTTGCCTTACGGCTCGGCTCTCTTTTCGTCACAACGGTGCGGTAAAGCGAGTTCATTACCGCCCCCGCTGCTCCGATTCTCCGGCCAATCTCCTGCTCCAGTCTCCCCTCACTCGTGAACAAGACCCAGAGGTACTTGAACTCCTTCACTTGGGGTAAGGACTCATTCCCTACCTGGAGTTGGCACTCCACCGGTTTCCTGCTGAGAACCATGGCCACAGATTTAGAGGTGCTAATCCTCATCCCAACCGCTTCGCACTCGGCTGCGAACCGATCCAGTGAGAGCTGAAGGTCACGGACCGATGATGCCATCAGGACCACATCATCCGCAAAAAGCAGTGACGAGATCCCAAGCCCCCCGAACCGCAGCCCCTCCTCGCCACGACTACGCCTCGATATCCTGTCCATGAATATCACAAACAGGACAGGTGACAAAGCGCAGCCCTGGCAAAGGCCAACCCTCACCTGGAAAGAGTCCGACTTACTGCCGAGTACTCGGTCACAGCTCTCGCTTTGGATGTACAGGGATTGGATAGCCCTGAGAAGGGCCTGTCGGGTCGGAAATAAGGACCGGCCGGGCCAGTAAAAGACCTGGTCCCTACCCTAACCAACGTAATAAACTCAATAAAATTACTCTATTAGATTTCTTCTTTAGTCAAAAACTGCGTAGTCAAAAACTTCACTGGAGACGGTCAAGAGTCGGTGCAAAAGAGTTTATTCCAATAAAGGACCGATAAACCCGAGCAACATCCCTGCAGGTCTCAGGATGGAACCGAGTTGGTGGTCAGCGAACATCGCCTTATATTCACCTTAAGCTCCACCTTGTCCCTCTCTTCAGGTGGGCGTTACATCTTAACTCCTCCTTATCTCCTCCTCCTAGGTGGGCGTTACACCTTAACTCCACCTATGGTGTTCGCTGACCATTCCTCCCCTTTGGTGGATTTCTTATCCTCTACTGCCATCTAGTGGCCTTTTTCTTGTACTGTTTTACCAAATTAACCCTTTCATTAATGTTACAATTTCCACTTTTTAACTATTATTACATGTAATTATTGTTACCATTTATCTCTCTTTATATTTTTTACATTACTGGATTAGAAATCCACCAATATGTTTCAACTTCAGTCCCACCGTATTTTTTTAAAAGTTATACAGGCATAGTTTGACACCATTAAAACTTAAACACTTACAATCGTATTTTTTAAAAGAATTAATAAGGAATAACATATCTAATACATATATAACGTGATTCAATGAACAATTACATGATTTAACAATGCAAACCATGTGGGTGCTTTGTCTCATACAAGTTAACTTTCGGCAGCGCAAAGCTTGGTTTCATGCAGTACCAGGCGCCATAAATCACAACATGTCATGATCTCATTCTTGGCTTCAGTTCGCGATGATCTCAGCCCTGGCGTACGTGACTTACTGCAGGTGCCTTGCTTCTATTGTGTGGGTTTCGGTTGGCTAGGTTTTGCCTGCACGGCCTGAGCAGCTTCTCTGCTCATGTAGGCACATTAAAAAGCACACGTTCACAGAGAATAAGAATAATATATGATAAACACACAGAGTATAAGAATAAAATATGAGTTTGAACACACTCATTAAACACTCAGTAGTTAAACACTCAGTAGTTAAACACTCAGTAGTTACACTTTACACTATAAAATAACACTTTAAATGATGACAATGTAGACCACCATTGCTCTAGTAATTAATGATAACAATTTAGGCTATAATGCTCAAAAATAATTCACAACAGCCCCCCTCACCCCATACACCTCCCGCAGCACCTCCCACAGTATCTCCCGGTGGACCCGGTCATACGCCTTCTCCAGATGTAGACTGGAGGATGGGCATACTCCCAGGCCCACTCCAGGATCCTTGTGAGAGCAAAGAGCTGGTCAGTTGTTCCCCGACCGGGACGAAAATGATGAACTAATCCAACATTAAAGACCTACAGAAGCTGTTCTGGACACCGGAACACGGACGGATCCAAAACAGACTCTAAGTTTAAACCTAGCAGGTGACATTACGGCTACATGGGCTGTTGGAAACAGCAAGAGAGGGGCGGGTTTAGCATGTATGGTATCATGTTGATGAATTTTGATGAAATAGTTATTAAACACTTGATGCCACACAAACTCTACACACTTTTGAACACATGCAGATAGATTCCACTGCACAGGACGCAGTTCTGAAGGACAGCATGCAACAATGTTTGATTATATCTGGAATAGGGACGGTGAAGAGAGAGACAGAGAGGGTCTATTTTTCAGTTTATTGCAACATATTATCTGGACAAGGACGCTGCCGCTGTTGTTTTGTTTCTTTTTCTCCTTCTCTGACGTCAGCTGTTCCACGGAGGGCATTTGCACATGACAAGTGAAGCCAAGTGGGCTGGAAATGGATGGATTTGGGGATGTAAGTCCACCCAGAGTGGGCTGACAGAGGACAGAATCCCAGAACACTACACAGCAAAGAGCCAAAGTTCTGCTCTGGTTAAAAGAACCCTTGAACTAGTTCCTGTAAGATCTTCTTACACACCAAACTGTGACCTCACGTCTGAGTCTTTAGCTATAGTTGATGATTTGATGCTTGAAATGATGTTGAGTGAGCTGCTCGGAAGAAGCATGCTGAGACGACCGATGTGTTGCTAAAAGCGTTTAGCCCACAATGAGAGCACACGCAAGGCTGTCTGTCTCCAAGAGCAATTCGATTAGAATAACTTAATAACTCTCTCTTTCCCAATAGTCGTAAGCCGTTTTCATCTAAAGAGGTGATGATGATTTTATAGACAAGAGTTCCCTTTACTAAAAAAGAACAGAGAGATGAACCTACAGTTCATTGACTGACTGAAATGCCTCTCTACAGTCTGCCTGTTCTCTACAAAGACCTTCGTTCTTAGGCTCCGCCCACACTGCTGCATTTTCTTTTAAAGCAGAGACCTTTTGCTACGTTTGCACCTCCCGTTTAGACTAAAACAGTAAAGTTTGAAAACGCTGCCGACCCCGTTTTTCATTTTAAAACTCCGTTTTAGTGAAGACGGGAGAAAAGGGAGGACTTTAGAAACGATGACGCAGACGCTCGGCTCTCTGATTGGGTCTTATGAGTCATGCAAAGCAGACACACAACGCTGCTGACAGAGTTTTTGATTTCGTACTTTTATTAAAATCTTTTGTTTTGTGGAAATAACACTTATCTGCCTACACTTGTTCTCTTGCTTGTCGCCGAATTTACCTTGTGACGACTCCCGGTTTGTTTTCCGCCACTTTTAACTCCCATGTTCCAGTCAGGAACAACACAGATGTTTGCTGCCATGGCCATAGCATCAACAGTGCCTCTGTTGGGGTTCTTGGATCATAAGCATGATGTGCAGAAGCCACCACAACACTATGGACTATGTGATGGAATTTTAATATCTAGATGTTTCAAAGTTCTAGGACGAGTTTTACCGTCAGACTGGAAGGTGAGAGACCAAACGGAGACATGTGGCCTCCCTCGTGCATCCTTTTCACCCCCCCTCTAACCCATAATCTGCCAGTATTAACTATTAATTCCATTCTGTAAAACTAAAAGCTCTTCAAGATGAATACTCTTGTACTTTTACTTCAGTAATTATCAGTGAAATGTTTTCTTTAAATCGTCCCGTGGTGGAGTTCATTTTATTTGTTGATGAAATGACTAAATGCAGCAGTAAGTACGCAGTTTCCTAAAATATTCAAGTAAATAATTATAAATAAATAAATAAGTAGGAAGAATGCAGGTTCCTTGTGTACTCCTCTGAATTTGGACATTAAGGTTTTAGATCCAGAATACATGACCTGATCATGAAGATGGATTATTATAGGAAACGTCCTAAATGAAAAGTAAATAATAATATGGCCACTCTTGTGTTTACTGCCAGAATCTGCCAGAAAGAGGATCGCACTCCGATGAAGGAAGAATACCAGAAATACAAACAGCTCAAAGCTAAAGTGTGTCTGCTGGAAGTCCCCCTCAGCAAACAGGAAGTCACCAAAACCGTGTGAGAGGAAGTGGAAACTCCCAGAGACTGCCTCCACCCTGAAACTCTGCATGAGAAAAGAGCTTTCTGTGTTGAGAGGAGAGGAAGAGTTACAGAAAGAAACGTGTTGAGGTGCACCGACATGTTCTTCCTTTCTATTATTTATTTCAGCTACTTCAGCTGCAGAGCTCAAGAGAGCAGAACGTCGCAGCCTGAAATAAAACTAGTGCTTAACGTTGTGAAACATCTGTTGGGTCAGGTTTAGGAAAAGTTCATGGTTTGGGTCAAAATAACTACGTTACATACGAGGTCCAGTGTGTTCTAATGACAGAAATGCAAGATGAGGTCCATAACTATGTTCTCAGCGCTGCATAAAGACCTTAATGTTGTTATTACCTTAGAATGAGACATTTTCTGTCCACAGACACCTCTCACATGGAGGTCACCCTGTTGCACCGCCATGTTTCTACAGTAGCCCAAACTGTTTCAGTGCTGAAATAATTAGTTGATTAGTGGCTCGACAAAAATATTTAGTAACAGCTTTTAAATGTAGTTTAATTCCTGTTTCCTGCTGAAACGTCCCTCTGGGTCCTGAATGTTGTACAAAGTTTCACACTTTGAAGACGTCACTCAAACTGTGATGGATTAATAATAACTAATGAACAAGAGTCTTTGTGCAGAATTTAGACTTCAGCAGACGTAACTCTGCTCGTCTCCGTCCTCTGCAGCTCCGGCGAAGCGCCCGGCCGGCCGGCGAGGAGCCAAGAAGACGGAGCAGCAGGAGGAGGAGAAGGTGGAGGAGCTGATCTTCAGCGTGGAGGCTCACAGCAGCAAAGAGCTGCGACACTTCAAGTTCCTCTCCGTCTGCTTCACGGCTCAGCTGCTCGGCTCGGCCAGCTTCGTCGGTAAACCTGCACAGGCCACAAATACAGACTAATAAAAGCTACATTTGTTCTGAGCTTCTAAGTTTCTTATTTAACCTTATTTAGATTCTTTAAACTTCAGTTTGTTTTGTTTTAATGAGCTGAAGATGACGGAGGTCAGAAGTCTTAGAGGATAATAATCTGATGAATTGTCAGTTGTCTACACCCAGTCAGTCTGCAGCAGTAAGATCTCAACAGTCTCAGGCCTCAAATACATAAAACATTAACCTTTAAGTTATACACTTGTCTTCTTAATCAAGGAACAAATTATATATTTGCATTGGAAATAACCGGGGACTGTTGAGATATCGCAGACAACTGATATTAAAAATAATGCTACTTAGAATATTTCTAACACAGACCGTGATGCAATGAACAGACACCATCATGTTTTCTAAATAAATTGTGATTTCATTTAATTTGATATAATTGGTCAATTGTAAGGGGGTTAACATTCTGCCGAAGTGCGTTCTTGGGCTTTACTTCAGGCCTCTTCCAGCGCTGCAGGTCTGTGATGTCACTTCCTGCCATCAGCGGCGATGTTGACAGTCCCTCCTCCCTCCTGGCTGTTCTCAGGTCAGCAGCGGTGAAGCGTGACCACCCCGAGCCGCCCAAAACACAAACACAGACGCGGCTCAGGTGCTCTGATGTTCAGATCACGCCTCATTCCTGCTCCCATGATTCCTTGCATGAAGAATGAGCTTGACTCCCGGCGACTCCTTTCCTTGAACCAGCATCAGTGAGACCCAGAATTTGTAAACAAAACCATCATCCCTCATTGGACAGAAATTCTGGAGCGTGACAGTCGAGCCAAGTAACCACGGAGATCTTCTGTAGTGCAGGTTTTGTTCTTTTACTGATTGTTTTCTCAGCTTCAGTCACAGTTTGCAGAACGAGCGGCACGTGATACGATGTCTTCTTTATGTTGTAATAAGCATTTTGCAAAGAGGAAGACTTGCAGTTCCGGTGGAGAGAGCGTGCTCTGATGTGCGCCCACTGTGGCGTGCTGACTTTCACTACAATAGCCTGTTCATTTCATAAAAGGCGCAGGGCTTTCTGCAGTCGCGGCCGGGCCACGTTCACACCTCAAATGAACCGTACCAGAGTTGGTGTGGAACTTCAGCTGTTTGGTCCGTACCCGAGTGCTGGATTCACAAAAAGATCCACAGTCAGGGCGTGAACGATTCGACCGAACCAAACAACACAGATGTAATTAGAGCCTTAGTGTCCCAGCAAGCCTCTCCGGTGAGGCCGCATGTATAATAGCAGACCCTGGAAGTGGTTCAGCTAAATGGAATTCAGCCTTCATCCGTGTCTTAAAATGTTCTGTCTTAACGAAAGTTAGACTGAGGTTGTTGTGTTCGGTCGTCGTGGAATCTGGCTGGGATCTTTGACCGTGCTTTTACATTTGAAAAACAGATCGCTGTCACTCAGTCATCTCTTTACGGTTCCTGTTAGTCCAGAACGCAGCAGAAGCGTGAGCACATTACTGCGGTTTCAGCCTCGCTCCACACCTCAGGAGGCCAAAATAACAAATTAAACTTTACTAATGAATCAACAACTCTACGGATCATTGTTTAATCAGATTCAGGAGTTACTTTTCACACATTGTCCTGTTTTCATAATGACGAGAATCAGTCACTGTTTTAGTTGAAAATGCAACAACGATGAAACATTAACTAAACACAGAATGATAAACTGGATGTTTCAGCCAGCGGAAAGCAGAAGTGATTTAAAATGAGTCAAGAGGAGTAGAGTGGTGAGTATATCATGATTCAGCGACAACCAGGATGGCGAAACACACGGTTTCCGAACATCCCATTTCCAGAGAGAAACATCCTGTGATATAAACCAGTCAGCACTAACATTATGTCCACTGAAGGGAAATTATGCAGAGTTAGAAGGACTCCCAAATCCGATTAACAGTGATTCAAAAAGCACAAAATTCATCCTCAGGTACACATTTATTCCTGCCGTGAAAGGAACTGTTGATGCTTCAGCAGACCAAGACATTTAGGACAGTTTCATGCTCCCAACTTTGTGGAAACAGTTTGGGGACGGCCCCTTCCTGTTCCAACAGGACTGAGTGCACAAACAAAGGTCCATAAAGACCCGGATGAGCCAGTTTGGTGTGGAGAACTTGACTGGCCTGCACAGAGTGCTGACCTCAACCCGATAGAACTCCTTCGGCATGAATTAGAGCAGACTGTGAGCCAGGCCTTCTCATCCTACATCAGTGCCTGACCTCACAAATAAGCTTCTAGAAGAATGGTCAAAAATTCCCATGAACACACTCCTGCGATGTCATTAACCTCCATGTGCATGTAAAGGAAGGTGTCCCAACACTTTTGGCAATATATTGTAGCTTGTGAGATTTCCAAATCTCCTCCTTTGTTCCTTACGGATCTTTAACAGTTTTCTTTGACTATGAGAGAGGGAGTCCATGTTAGACGAGCCAACCTCTGAATGTGTGGAAACAGACTGGATTCATCAGGACGAGCAGGTGAACATGGAGCACGAGTTGAGTTTGGATCAACAGCAGATGAAAACAGGGAGATGACTGCAGCTGGAGCTTAATCAACAATCAACTGCATTTTAATTAGTTTGGATGTTGTAATGTTCAGCTCAGAGGTCATGTGATCGGTTTCATAAAATCCTCTTTCTATATTTATTCTTTCTGAGTTTCATTATTACTTTATTCCCGTATGCATCTGTTTCCTTGTGTAACACTGTCGAGAAACTGGTGACCTTTCAGGCAGGTCACATCCTCCCCAGCTGTGACTCATCAACCGCAATGCCTGTTGTGACACTCTTAAAAACTCACCAGAACTGTCCTGAGGTCAGCTTAAATGGATCTTTTTCAGTACCAACCTGTTGACAAACACCCAAGACACCAACAGCTCCGTCAACATGCAGATGAAAACAGGGAGATGACTGCAGCTGGAGCTTAATCAACAATCAACTTCATTTTAATTAGTTTGGATGTTGTAATGTTCAGCTCAGAGGTCATGTGATCGGTTTCATAAAATCCTCTTTCTATATTTATTCTTTCTGAGTTTCATTATTACTTTATTCCCGTATGCATCTGTTTCCTTGTGTAACACTTCTGCTAAGTAGGGTTTTGAATTGTAATCGAGTATTTGTGCACATTGTTTTGGTTTCGAAATGACAATCACCTCCTCTCCCGGCCGCCCCCACCGTCAGCTCGGTGACGTCACCGGGTAGTTTAAAGCAGCCGCCTGTCGGTGACGGTGAGTCTGCGGATCAGTCAGCATGATGAGCGCGAGGACGCTGCGGCAGCTCGCGACGCTTTCCAGGCGGAGCCTTCAGCATCATCATCATCATTATCATCATAATCACCAGGAGAGGTCCGTGGGGATCATCGGGGCCCCTTTCTCCAAGGGACAGGTGAGGGCACGAGACGCGGTTCACCTGTGTGTGTTTGTGTGTGTGTGTGTGCGCGCGCTGCCGTCACAGCTGTACTTCTTCTTCTGCAGCCTCGAGGCGGAGTGGAGGGAGGACCGGACCAGATCCGAGCTGCGGGGCTGCTGCACAAACTGCAGGAGCAAGGTGAGTAAAATACTCTGTTACAGCCGCTGCATTTACTCTGAAGTAAAAAGTACACAAGTATTCTCAGCTTCATGTAGGCTAGTTAAAGTATCAGCAGTAAAAGTCGCTTACCAGTACTGCAGAGTGCAAATACTGCATTTAACATTATATTATTTAATAATGTAAATATTGTACATATCATTTTTATATTGATACTCTTTATATATTTATTTATCTTCCTACTTTTAAATTTCTGTTGATGAGCAACTGCGACAAAAAGATTTGATTTCCCCTCAGGGATCATCATGTATTATGAGCTTGTATTTAAAGTATCAGCAGTGAAAGTACACAAGTATTTTCTACTTCATGTAGTTAAAATATCTTTAGTAAAAGTACACATGTATTATGAGCTTGTATTTAAAGTATCAGCAGTAAAAGTACACATGTATTATGAGCTTGTATTTAAAGTATCAGCAGTGAAAGTACACAAGTATTTTCTACTTCATGTAGTTAAAATATCTTTAGTAAAAGTACACATGTATTATGAGCTTGTATTTAAAGTATCAGCAGTAAAAGTACACATGTATTATGAGCTTGTATTTAAAGTATCAGCAGTAAAAGTACACAAACACATAAATGTTATTACATTTAAATGAATAACATTTCATTTTAAAATGAAAACAGACTGTTTGTTTATCGTTCCTGTTATTTATCTGTAAGAAAACAGTTTTAAAAAATAAACTTTTAAATTATAAAAATGTGTAAAAATATTTAATTGTTCACAGTGTCGATGTCTTCACTCAACTTTATTAGCAATCAGTGCTGCGACATGACGTTAATCTGAGGAGACTGACGTGCGTGTGTGTGTGTGTGTCTGTGTGTGTGTGTGTGTGTGTGTGTGTGTCTGTGTGTGTGTGTGTCTGTGTGTGTGTGTGTGTGTGTGTGTCTGTGTGTCTGTGTGTGTGTGTGTGTGTGTCTGTGTGTCTGTGTGTGTGTGTGTGTGTCTGTGTGTGTGTGTGTCTGTGTGTCTGTGTGTCTGTGTGGGTGTGTCTGTGTGCGTGTCTGTGTCTGTGTGCACTTACCAACCTATCTAACAGTGGACCTCGACGTCGTTACACACACACTAAGAGGGGACTTAAAAGTGAACAGGGGACATTTTTTAGGTCCCCTGTTGGACATGCTTTAAATCATGCTAAAATCATGTCTAAAACCATCTGGTAATTTTTTTTAACTATTGTCAAGAGGGGACCTGCAAGTTTGTGAGTGTTTAAGTCCATACTCAGCAGTGCCTCTAGTGGATCAAGCAGAGATTTGAACGACTCATTCACACACGTCGTTCTTAACACTCCCCTATAGAGTGAATGGCTTGCAGCCCCAGGGAGTCTATCAGACTGTAGAGGGGCTATTATACAAGCTACTCAGTAAAGAAAGCTGTCTCTTGAAACACGATTTCTTAATTTTTTCTAACAAAATATACAGGCTGAGTTTTAGTCCATGTCTTGTGTTTTAAGATCAACATGTATTAAAATAAAGGGCTACACTGAAGGCCTGGAGAGTAAAACGATTTTAGATTCTAAAAAAGGGAACAATAATAGAAAAACAACCAGGGTAGAATTAGAAATAAAATGGTCAGTATAAAGATACTTTTATGGTTTTAATTCATTATATAAATACATTTGACATCTAGAGCTTTAAACTTATTCTGTCCCAAAATACTAACCTGACCAGCTTTCACAAGCACTGGACATCAATACATTTTTTTTTTCATTATATTTGTGTGCTTAGTCTACACTTAAATATGCATTTCATTTATTGATTTGCATTACAGAAAAAGGGACCACACTTGTACTGTGTGGAACGACAGGAGTCCACTGTTCTCTTGTACATGATGACACAAGTTCCCTCTTAGATAGCATGGAGCGATAATCACACTCCAACTTGTGTGAAAATAATAAATAAGCAAATTTAATCATACTTTTGAGACAAAATAAACTAACTAAATAGTCTCTTTATTTTCTATACATTCTTTTAAAACAAAATATAAAGGCTGAGTTTTAGTGGATGTCTTGTGTTTTAAGATCAACATTGTATTAAAATAAAGGGCTACACAGAGAGCAGGAGAGTAAAAAGGATTTTAGATTCCAAAAAAAAGGAACAAAAATAGAAAAACAACCAGAGTTGAATTATAAATTAAATGATTAGAGGTAAGATACTTTCTATTCAGTTTTAATTAATTGTTAAAAAGTATTTCACATCAGACTTTGACTACAGCTTTAAACTTGTTCAGTCCTAAAACACTAAACTGACCAGTTTTTACAACCACTGAATGTCAATACATTTTGTCATTATATCTATGTGCTTAGTCTACACTTACAGAAATGCATTTTATTTATTGATTTGAATTACAGAAAAAGGGACCACACTTGTACTGTGTGGAACGACAGGAGTCCACTGTTCTCTTGTACATGATGACACAAGTTCCCTCTTAGATAGCATGGAGCGATAATCACACTCCAACTTGTGTGAAAATATAAATAAGCAAATTTAATCATACTTATGAGAAGAAACTAACTTAACTACAGAGTTTTTTTTATTTGGTATAATCTGTTATTGTAAGAAAATATAAAGCCTGAGTTTTTATTGAAGTTATTTTCAACAAAATACAAAGGCTAAGTTTTAGTGAAATTCCTAAATTGTTTCAAGCTTCAGACTACTAAAATGATAGACTACCCAGTAGACAGCAGAATGAGTATTTTAAAAGCACAAAAAAAGTGAAAGTAAAAACAAAATGAATACAAAGGTCAGCTGCAATCAATGGATTTAATGCTGTTAATTATCGTGATACATGACCAGTGTTTGTATGTGTCCTAAATCTATATTTAGGAAGTTGTTGCTCGCAAACACTGACAAAAGACCTGTCTGTCAATTGAATAGTTAGTTTCCTAAACACCGCTGCACAAATCTATCCAACACAACGTTGTCAATGTCGGAGACCCACCTTCAAAAAAGTTATCAGCAAGCATGTAAGGAGCCTAGCTAATAAGGATAGCTATGTTAATTTTAGAATACAGCTGTCAAAGTTAGCACGCTGTGCATAACTGGTAGTCAGTAGGTGTGTCCGAGATGACTGTGGCTGACTTTCACCGAATTGATAGTCTAAGTGAGCTGCAGGCGACTGCAGGGGCGGGGTATAAAAACAGCGTTGTCAAGTCAGACGCAATCTACCTCTGGTAGACTGTGTGAGCTTACTGTAAGCTAAGACCAATGATCAGGCAAAAGGTGGTCCCAACTTTGTGCAGCCAGAGAAAAGCTACTGATGAGACATCATGGTGACGTTTTGCAGCTCACGTTAGACTATCAAGTTGACTGCAACATTCTGCCTATTTGACTAAAAATTATTTAGTAAAGTAATTATAGCATCTGCAACTGTAACTGAAACCTTCAAGAGCCTGAAGTTTAATCCTGAAGGTGAGACGACATGAAATCCAGAGGCAAACTCCTTCCCTTGGTGATCAAGTATTACAAAGCTAGTTAGCTACTTTTGTACAGTTGAAATCACATCATGTCGAAACTAAAGTGTGAAATGTTGAAAAGATTAGTTTAGCTACAAATGAACAAGTTCATATGTGCGTGTTTAGGTTTTATGATGTGGTATTTAAGGTGCTAAATGAAGCCTGTCTCTGAAAAATTTAAAATCTTTCTAAAAACTCATACAGAAGGCTTCAGCAGTACATTTGTTCTTAGCCTTAGAGAAAGGTCCACAGAGACATTCAGACACACTTTACAAATAATATGAAATAAGCAAAATAGCCAATTCTTAAGAAAAAATTATAATCTAAACCAAATATATAAACTGTAGTGTTGTTGTTTTTGTTTTTTAGAAAAGTGTCACCAGCAATGTTCTCATTGTAGCTTGTTGAAATGTGGGGTTAAACATTTGTTGGCGAATAGAGAAGCATATTTGATGGCTGTCAAATGGTGCAGCATCGTAACAATGGAACTTAGAGTTTGCATCAAGTGGAGAACACACAACCAGTGCTGCATTAAGTTCACACTGATATTTGGCAGGTATTTGTCTTTATAGATTTTTACATCTCAGTATTTTCAACTTCTTTCTTTAGCATGTACAGTTTGTGTGTTAGTGATTTTAATAGCCATTGAAATAGTGATGAGTTACCTATAGCTCATCTCAGAACCATCACAACGTTGGATGGCTATTCATAACACAAGAGATAATCCATCCACCTCCCAGGTGTGGCATATCAAGATGTTGATCAGACAGCATGGGTATTGCACAAGTGTACCTTAGGCTGGCCACAATAAAAGGCCACTCAAAAATGTGCAGTTTCCCTGTATTGGGGGTGTCCGGGGGGAGTCTGGAAACCAGTCAGTATCTGTTGTGACCACCATTTGCGTCACGCAGTGCAACACATCTCCTGTATATAGAGTTGATCAGATTGTTGATTGTGGCCTGTGGAATGTTCATCCACTCTTCAATGGCTGCGCAAAGTTGCTGGATATTAGCAAGACCTAGAACGCGCTGTTGTATACGCAGATCTAGAGCATCCTAAACATGCTCAATGGGTGACATGTCCGGTGAGTATGCTGGCCATGCAAGAAATGGGATGTTTTCAGCTTCCAGGAATTGTAATCCTTGCAACATAGGGCCGTGCATTATCATGCTGCAACATGAGGTGATGGTCGTGGATGAATGGCACAACAATGGGCCTCTGGATCTCGTCACGGTATCTCTATGCATTCAAAATGCCATCAATAAAATGCACCTGTGTTTGTTGTCCATAAAACACGCCTGCCCATACCATAACCCCACCGCCAGATTGGGCCACTCGATCCACAACTAGGACATCAACAAACCGCTCACCCACACGACGTCATACACACGTCATCTGCTCTGCACAGTGAAAACTGGGATTTATCCATGAAGAGAACACCTCTCCAAAGTGCCAGACGCCATCGTATGTGAGCATTTGCCCACTAAAGTCGGTTATGATGGCAAACTG